AACAGGGAGAAAGGACACCGCTCCCAAGAAACGCCTCGGATGACGCATCTGCAATGCAGTCGATTGCTGCGCAGACCCCGATAGACGATCCTGTGCCGTGTTTCTGACACTGCGACGGTCGCGAGGAAGTAATGAATTGACGGTGGTCGAGGATGTGCTGTAGGTGCTGTGCAATCTGCTGCATGTGAACGTTTTTCTGCAGGTAGGAGGGGGGAATCGCTTTCTAGAGACTCCGCAGGAATTCGGTGTCTGCAGCACGTGTAGACGTGTCATAGACATTTCTAGACCTGTTGCGGGCATGTTCCTTGCGTTGACGCGTTCATGGCATAACCGAAACGAGTGGTCTGAGGAGATTCTTGCGTCATATAACTTATTCCATTCCTTCCGCGCAAACGGACATTTCTAACTCTGCCTAGTCAATATTATTTTATTATTATCTTAGTATAAAATCCATTAATCAACTTTGAAAATCTTTGAAATCAAATTCACGAACCCATACTTCCAAGTCTGCAAAAAAAAATCGTGAAGTAGCTGACCTACATATTAATGACAATGAGGAAATGACAAAGATAAGGCAAGAAAATTTTCCTCTCATCTCGTCTGGCACTTACGCGTCTGTGGGCTGAAAGACGACGACGTTTCAGGTCGTGAAAGATCACCAATACGAAAGAGGGGCAAGCCGATTCGTGGCGATCGCCTTCAGGGATTCCTTTTTCGACCAGGTCCGAGGCGAAAAACTGTGTTTACGTCTGATCGCATGTCAAGCCTGCATGTGACAGGGCGATACTGGAGGAGGCATTTATCTCGTCTTTCCCCGAGATCCCACTCGGAGAAAACAGAACCGACATCGACTGTAGATGGGCCACTGCATTTCATTTCAAAGTCAAATGAAAGGTCAAGTGTGATATTCAAATTCAAATTCGTGCGGCTACCTGTTCTGCGGAATAGGGTGGTCGTGACGTAAGAGGGGGGATAGCGAATCGAGTGACGCCGGTTTTTCGGTGTTCGAATGAGATTTGAGAAGCTGAGATTGGGTCTTCGGGAAGGAAATACGGGACATTAGGAGTCGGTGAGAGTAGAGAGAAAATTCCAGACTTATTCATATTCAAATTGGCGACAACATAGGAATTCACAAACCAAATTCACAAATTCACATGGATCGTCCGAACATATTCATATCAATTTATCTCCAATGGGAAACCCTTCAGTTTGTTGGACAGACCGATTGCCTTTCGGGAGGCATCTGATTCTCTAGACCTGTCAAAGACTCTAGACCTGTGAAAGACTCTAGACCTGTCATATTAATTATGTGAGATTTCGTTCATCTTCATTTTTAACATAAAATGTAAGCAAATTCTGTAACTACTTCTAATAGTATTATATCGCAACTACGAGAAGAGCATCCTTAGAAGTGGTTCGCCTTCACGCGTTTGACGAAATTAGATTGAGGTCGTTAAAGCAGGCATCGAGGCGGTGTTGAAAGGCGTTTGACTTCGTTCAGGTTCGTTGTCGTTTTCCGCCTTGTTGATGACTTTCGGTCTATTTACATATTTATACGGTGGGAGGAGACGTTTTGGGACTTCAGTGCGATTACGCGTTCGTCGTATGTTTCCAGGACTTTTGTCTTCCAGGAATCGTGCTTCCAGGAATCGTGCAAGAATGTATCCGAATCGTGTAAGAATGTATCCGAGAGAGAAAAATGTGCTTTTCAAGCGGTTCCAATGAAGGCTGCTCTTTATCGTCGGGGAAATGTTTTCTGATATCAGCATGTTTGTAATGGCGCGATCATGTTATGGACTGTGAAACTCCTGTTGCTGCAACTGTCCCACATTCGAAAAATTACTGTAATGCATGACTCTCCTAGTTTTGCAGATAATCATCAAGATCTCAAGGGGGGCTGTCCGAGACTGCTTTCTTGATGGTATCTTGTCGGGCAACGACTCTTCGAACTTATGTAACTGTGCCAAACAATGGAAACATGGGCTTAATCCGAGTGGATCAAATGGGAAATGGAACGTTAGGCCTATCTGGTGTTCCTCGAACCATCTCGAATGGATCTGTGGAGGGAATGCCTCCAGGACGCATGAAATCCATGGCGCGCGCCATCCTGTTAATCCAGGGATGTCCGGATAAGCTATCTCCATATCCCACCAGATCTATCAATCACTGCTAACCAACGCTTCATTCTCAGCTCATCTCATGAACTCAGCACAAACATGTCCTGCACATTAAAAAAAAGAAGAAGTGCCAGACGCCGATACGAGGGTTGAAGTAGTATTGAATCTGGCATAATTTCGGCACGGCATCCGGCAACACTGGGAGACGGGACCGGAGCAAGCACTCCAAGCTTAAACGAATGACAGTTAATTTAACTTTTTTTGGCCACATGCTACATGGTAAACGACAAAAAGGGCACTTTTCGTCATCTACGAGTCAATATCGTTCTTATGGTTGCTCTCTTTCCTCTGAAACTCCCCCAGGAGTGGCTACCCGGGGGGGGGGAGAAAAAAAAGGAATGAAAATCACATTTTCAAAAAAGCGAGATACAGTGTTCACAGCCCCGGGGAGGTAGAGCTTCAAATTTCCTGGAGTGATTCTGTGTTGAGAGAGGAAGAAACCTGGCCAATTTCGTCCTGTTGATTCTCTCAGAGGTGAATGCGAGGAGCTTGAATTTTGTTACGGGAAGGGGTTGAAGAAGGTAATAGGCACTACTGCGCCTATTGATGAAAAGGCCCGGATTACTAAACCTGTTCTCGATGTTTCGCACGTCCGCGTCGCGTGGAGATGGGAGGACAGTAAGTGTAGGATACCAGACACGGCATTTCACGCGTGCGCCTAGCAACCCTGTCTACGCGGCCGGGAGCAGCAGCTCTCCTCCATTGTCTATTATGGAACCGTCAACCGCCAGGGCTGGAAGGGAAGTGGATGTTTCCGTGAAAGACGGGTACTCCGACCCAGTCGGAAAGCTGCGCGTGCGCATTGGGTCGTGTTATCCGGTTGCTATGGTTACTGCGGACAGAGGGAATGAAAAAGAAAAAAAAAAGTGACAAACCGACCGCAATATCTGGCATTTCCCCATAGTACCTATGGGAATGCCAGATAAAAATGGGAAAAAAGTGACAGACCGACATATCTGACATTTCTCCATTGTACATTATGACATTCTCCAGGAATGTCATAATGAGGAAGTGTCCGATTTTCGTACTACCTATAAAATGAGGCAAGGTGAGACACAGGATGAGGTGACAACGTACCTGTGAAGGGAGATTCCTGGGAAAGAGGGTAAGGGTTACTCTATGTAGAGTGGGAAACGGTAGCTCCATAACTCCATCTAGTGGTCTGAAGGGAAACTTTACATCACACAGTAACCCTTGCAGGTGGTGGTTCACTGTCATCTATACCTTTTCTACTGCTTAACCCTGAAAAGGCTAAAACCGACTCTGGTAACATCCGATTCCTATTAAGAACTATCTCATTAGGAATAAATATGCAGCCTCAAAAATGATATACTGTTATTTACTCATTTTCTTTTGTGTAACCCACTCGTGGTCGTACCCCACTCGATGTGTTGAATATCAAATTCTTCAGACCGAAAGGAATAAAAAATATATATATTCAGAGGACATCTAAATAATCCTTTGAGATAGTGCTGTTCCGGTATTTAACCTAATTTTTCCGTTTAACCCTCAAAAAGAACCCTGAATCCTTTTTGCTAACAGTGTAAGCCAGGGTCGTTGGGAGGAGGTGCATGGACGAAATAACTGCTACCGTAAGAGATAAATGACCGGAAGAAAGGAAAAGTGATCTGTTTGAGAAATTTTCTGAGATAGTTGCTAATCGGTCTAATACGCAGGGATCCTATTTTCATTCGGTGAAGATTGTCGTTCGAGGGTTTCATGATTGTGGGAAACTCATGACCCACACCCTGTGGGTCATGAGTCTCGTGTCGTTTAGAGCAGCGGTTCCCAGACATCTTTTGAATCGCGACCCGCTTGCTGACGTATAGAAAATTTCCTGACCTACCGGAATCCGGAACGAGGTATTTTCAAAGTAAGTATGATTTGAAGAAAACTGATCGACCTTTTCTGCAGGGCATGTTTTATCCTGAGCGGATTGCAGATATAGTGATTTTTTATACTGGGAAAATGTACGCGATCCACCAGTGAGTCGCGACCCACAATTTGGGAATCGCTGGTTTAGAGCATATGCACAAATAAGATCAATGACAGTCCAACAACTTCACATTTATGGCCCATCTTGTATACATGTACTACTTTCCCTCGCTTTTAAAAAAGACGGCTTCTTAAATATTAACATTTTCCTCTTGAGATGGAGAAATGATTTATTAATTTTTTCGTAGAAAGACCATTTCCCATTCAGCGCTCCATATAAATATGTAACCTCAAAAGGGATAAATATGTATACCTGTTCTCATGGATACTCATTTATCCATGCCCAAGATTCATAAAACTCTCCTAGTAAAATATTTAACCCTCTCAATCGAAGAGGATATAAAGAATTCATCGCACTTAAGATAAACATCCTATTAACCCTTTAATATGGTGATTCAAAGACATCTAACAGTTTTTTACGGTTTACCCTTCAAAAGGTTAAAGGGGGGGAGGGGGCGGGAGAAATGAAGGGACGCACGCTTTAAATACAACAGGAATAGTTCATTCCAGAACACATTTTTCGTGGGCTTTTAGGACAGTGCGAATGATGAACGACATCTCGGTTCACCCGAGGATACTTTTGTCATTTCGAAGGGAACATGAATAATTAAACGAAAACGTGAAATATATATATATATACTCGTATATATATTTATATTTCGCGTCCAGTCCTTTGGCTTACAAGGAAAGGCAAGAAAAAAAGTTTCCTTCATTGATCAAAGAAAATGTAGAAATGAACTGAGACGTTTTCCATAATCACTCAACCGCAACCAACTTATGAACATTATTCGTTTCGTTTTCGGGGGAGAGGGGGGAGAAGGAGAACCGTCAAACGCTGGTGACGGCGACGCCATCTTCGCGCTTCTGCAAGCCGGAATCTTCGGAAATGTTCGGCAGGATGATCCCCGCGCCGCAAGAGTGGAGATCTTCGGCAGTCTTCGGGTGGAGATCGCTCGAACAGAGGGAGGACAAGGTCGTCAGGCTCGGGCTGTAGAGCAGGTTGGACGACATGCAGCGGGGGATCGGCCTGCCCGAGGGGAGTCCCTGCAAGCGGGGCGGTCTGTCCAGACGGTCCATCGACCCTGCAGACCAAAATAACGACGGGGATCACCTCGGGGATAAATTCTACACGCGGGGCTCGAGAAGGACGGCGCTCTTAGTCTTAAGGGAATGCATTACAATTTAAGGCGACGGAATGGCAAGTGCCTGATATTTTTGCCTGGAAATTAAGATGAAGGATCGTATCTAATATGGAATATATAGAGTGGTTAAATAAAACGCTCTACCGTTTTCTATTAGAGAAACACTGTTTCATAAATGCAGCAACAACAAAAAAAAAACATTGAATACGCGATCGATATTTGACAGTTACATGTTGAAATGCTTGGTAGCTTTGAGTGATAGTGAGTGCAACGTTGGATACCCTGGTATATATACAGGGTGTCTCAAAAAATGTATACACACTTGAATCAAGAGCATACATTACATAATTGAGAGAGGGACGATGTTTAATGTGACATGTACAGTACCTAACAGATGACAATGTGTAATGGAATGATCGCGTGTCATCAGGCAATTTTTTCCCACGAGACAGTGCGTCACGCCAGATGACGCAAGCTCACTTGACCTTAGAGCAATGTAAATCGATTTTGAAGTGATTCTGGAAATCTGAGAACACATGTGAAGTGCAAAGAAGGTGGAGAAATGAACTTGCAACCATGCCACCATAATGTACTCGAACTTTCAAGAATTCATGGAAAGTTTGATGCTGATGGTATGGCATGGTCTCCCAGAACATTGCTAGAATGGTAATGAGCAATGTTCTGATGGACCTCACACATCAGCAGGTGGGGAAAACGCTGCTGTTGCAATGCAAGCATCCACGTGATCGCATGAAATTGAGGAGTCCTGTGCTGCTGTCCCAGCAGAAACCTGTCCACAAGTTTGTTGCACTGTTGCTCACTGCTGTCAACAGTGCCTGGATGCTAACGGTGAACAATTTGAACATCTGTGGTAGTGAACCATCCAATTCAAACCCTTGCTTCTCCACACACTGAATATTGTACCTCTCTGAATTACTTAGCATATATTTATTATTATTAAAGTGTGTATACATTTTTTTGAGACACCCTGTATTTCTATTTGGAAGAGGAGTCAGACCTAAATTAGCGGCGGACATCATAGAGAAGATATTGGAGGCCATGTTGGAAATGCCGAAGGGCCTGGAATCGTTTCCCTCCCAAGCCGAACTCGGATAAGCCGGCTCGTTGTGTTTCATCACGTCCATCCCTGAAACATCCGATGAACACATATGAAGTCGATGAAGTCGGTTTCTGTGGGGGGGGGGAGTCGCTCGTACCTCGAATTTCCATGTTCTTCGAGACGCGAAGAAATCCGAGTTTCTTGAGGATTCCGAAGAGGACGAGGCAGAGAGAGCTGGACCAGCTGAAGATGGCGGCTGCTCCCGCCAGGTTCCAGGCCAGCACCTATTCATCGCACCGATTCGCCACCCCAGAGACAAGGAAGTATATTAGAATGTAAGGATTGTGGAGAGAGTCGATGGTTTAGCGGTTAAATTGAATGTCCCCGAGCAAAGTATCAAATTAAAAAGTAAATAAATTTAAAATAAAAAAGTGAATCTAATTCCCATCAAGAGTGAAGATCGATTTAACTCGGAAGAATCGAAAACCAATTATAACCGCTGACGTTTTTCTCTAGTCCGAGAGAGAAAAGGAGAAGGCGCCGTTCTTGACTGCAAGACGGATAGCTGGAATTTCCCAAGGGAGGGTTCAAGAGACAGGGCGAGGGAGAGAGGGAGGATGACAGGGTGAGGGAGGATGACAGGGTAAGGGAGGGTGACAGGGTGAGGGAAGGGAGGAACGGGCAAGCTCTCTCTGCATCATATTTCCCATTGGATTTCTGTTGAGCCGAATGCTGACTGAATGTAAGAAGCGTTTCCGAGGAATTTTACGTATTAAAGCAAAAATTACATCTCATTACATTATTTATTATTTCTCGTTTTTCTTCTGCTATTACTGTAAGGAACGTTGCACATGAGGCACGCACATTGTTCTCGATTACAATCATCTGAGGTAAAAATCCAGATGATGCATGGATAAATAATGCTTCCCGGCAGAATTTTTTTGGGCAGACATTACACATCCCTTACACATCTCCCATTATCATCATGCGAGGTGTCACTGGATAGCCATTAAACAGGAGCCGTTTCTCTGTATTCAGTTACCCTGATTCCATTACAATACGACGCTTTCCTCGGTAGGTACAACAAGGTAATCGATATTTGGGGCGATGCATTGGCATTACATCAGGCATCCGAACTCAATTCAAACATTCTGGCTAGACCTGATCTAGACCTGATATAGACACGATAGACCTGAAAGAGGTATCAACCTCCATTCCCGCCACACAGTAGTGTAATTTCGCTTTTTCTTCCTGTCCTTCCAACTCACCATGGCAGCGTTCTTAGTGGGATTGAAGACGATTCCATCCCTCATGAAGATTGCGACGGCGATCATCCCAAAGAATCCGCCCCCGAAATGAACGGGGAACGCGTCCAAGGGGTCATCGACTGCATACATGATACCATCACGTCCACAATGCAGCATTTCTTAAATTGATCATCTTTCTTTGTTGTTTTTCAGGTGCTCCATGTGTTAAAGCATTTTTCATTTATACCTAAAAAAAGCTTAGCGTTTTGCTAAGTGGCCATAACTCCTTCATGCCTGGCCATATATCCCCAACAATAGGGGTTATATGGCCTGTTAGGACCAGCATGGAAGGAAACCAAATGCTCATTTCAGGTTTTTCTTTTTCATGCGTCTTGCTGGGATGCTGGGATTGAATAAAGGAGCCATCAATGAATACTTTGACATTTTTGTAAAGTCATATTTGATCTTGATGGGCCGTCAAAACCAGAATTACTTTGTAAGGCAATATTCAATATTCCCTAATTCACTCAATGCCTTTTTTGCATAAAACTGTTGTCATACCGATATTAATTGAATGCTAATCTAATTTTTTTCCATGATTATTATGAATGCTGAATTTTTATGGACTTAATGTTTGATGGTAGCACCAGACAATATTACACCAGCAATTATTTTTCTCGGTAAGAGCGAATGGCCTGACTTTGGAGCCGGAGGAGGAGGAAGTGAAGGCAGAGGAAGGTGAATCCGGCCCCCACGCCGACGACCAGGGCCGCCCACGACGGGTAGACATCGCTCCCCGCGCACACACCCACCTGCAATGAAATCATTCCCCCCAAGAAAGTCAGGGCTGGTATACATACAGTGGAGAGCAAAAAAAATATTGCCGTAAGATTTTGGTGAATTTCTACTGCTGGAAGCGATGAATTTCCCATACAATATTCAATAGAAATACAAAAAGTCGATCATTTATTCCATCTCCTAGATGAATAAGAGCCAAGCATCTCTATTTCATCGACGCGATTAAATGACTCGACATATATATTCGTTGCCATTCTTCTTCGGCCTAATTCCTCGAGATTTTTCGCCTGTTTGGTGGGGAGTCGATCGTTTCGCGTACGTGCTGTTCCAAAAATGTTCTACCCTTATTTGTATGTGATCGTCGTCTTGCTGGAATCGCCGGGGTCGTCCTATCTTCTTGCTCCTGGAAGTAGATGTTCTTGAAGTATTGGAGGGTAGTAGGGGCCGTCCATGATGCTTCTGAATGAATGGCGCGATACCTGGTCTTTCAGGTTGAAGGGTCTCCACGCTATCATCTTCTGCCTGCTTTTGGGAATTCGCTATCGAGCTGCTTTTGAGCGTTCTCGGACCAACGATGTAGGGGTAAAAGACCCAGTGATGGGCCTGTTAAGGACGGGTAATCAGTGATGGGCCACGTCGCAGGAAAATTCCAAAAACTAGGCATTTGTTCCATGAACACCTTGTAAGTGTTTATGTGCTTCAATGCTGCTAGCCAATGTCACAACAGGGGTAGGAGAGCTATAGACGTTCAGTTGTTGAAATTTTTATGTGCTGTGGCCCATCACTTGGGACCCGTCCATCACTGAGTCTTTTACCCTTATATCTGAACGACTGTTAACAAGTTTCAACGCCACCGTCCAGCTCCAATTTCCGTATTCGTGTTGCAAAGTCCATCGTACTCGCCCCTAATGTTGCTTCTGGGACGGCATCGGCGCCCCTCGGCGCCGCACTGTTCATCCCGACACATACCCCCATCCGTTCTTCTGTCCTGAAAATGTAATCTGCTGTCGTCTACGCTGTTCTATGGAATCCACCGTCGGATCTCGATACGACAGCATTGAGATCGGTTTCATCTCGGGCCTTATCTTACACGAGCGTCTTTGCGGCCATTGCCACCCTGATGCACAACGGTACCTCGCTCTTGGATCTTGCCCATATTATACCCCGACAGTACCGAATCTTTGTTCGACCGGCGACTTCGGCAGCACAGCGATAACCCAGATTCCGATAATGTAAGATGATCGATCGGTTCGTCGACGAAGGGTTAGCATTAAAATAATGCGCTATTTTCAGCAGGCTCAAAGACACTTTCCAGAGTTATGCTCACTGCTATATATAGCTCCTCCTTGACCTTCGGGAAGGTTTTTGGAAAATCACTCTAGAAACTTCGGGAGATATACTTCTGGAAAGTTCCTGTGTTTAGCGGCAATTTTTGTTTGCACTCCTCAGACCTCAGAACTAAGGTAACGGAAACGTAACGAAAGTCCTTGGTGTAATATTTGTTTCACTTACTCTTCATCAAACATAAATAAATAAGTAAATAATGCTGGAAACACGGACTTGACCTCGCGATTTTCGTGAGCAGATCCCCAGGAGGTATTCGCGTAATTATTCAGAATTCATGGGCTCAACTCTCTCTCTAATATCTAATGTCGAGGATTTACGGTAAGCAAGTAAACGCATCTAATGCCGACAGGCATCGTGAGTTTGTAGGGCCAGTTCTAAGCCTGACTGCTTCCACGCAGAAACGAGAATATTTTCTGAAATTATTCCATTTAGTACAGTGCGAATGGTGCGGACGTACAAGACCAGCGAGGGCACCGTTGAGGGTCATGAGGAAGCTCCAAGCATGCGTCGGGCCGAAGGTGCCAACGCGGTGGATGACAAGGGTCCCGATCCCGCCTCCACATGCACCAAGGAGGGCATTCACTATGGCTCGGCTGATGACTTCGCTGTCGCCCAGATGGCTGATGTGACCCCGGAAACCGGCGTTGAATGCCAGGAAACCGAACAACAGGACCCGATCCCGCCTCCACATGCACCTAGGAGGACATTCACTATGGCCCGGCTGATGACTTCGCTGTCGCCCAGATGGCTGATGTGACCCCGGAAACCGGCGTTGAATGCCAGGAAACCGAACAACAGGATGAATCCGCCCAGTGCCGCCAACTGCTTCCGATTATTGAATAGCATTAAGAGCGTTTTCCAGAAACGATTAGAAGTCATGTATAAATAAAAATGGAAACAAACAAAAATATATACACTATATATCCAACTATTGAAAAAATACGAAAGTTCTAAGAGATCCTATTGCAGGAGTGGATGATGCTAACAATAAGATTATTGTGGAGAGGCATGCATATTGCCCAGTAATATTTATAGGAATTCGATAGTTCACATAATTGTTGTGTTGCTTCACTTTTGAATTGAAATCCACAAGCTCTAATCAGTTCCATGATTTGTCCGTGCCGTCAGTTGAAGATCAAAAAAGCATTTCCTGGATTTGGCAAGTTTCCGCTCTTTCTAACTGAAGGTTCTTTTGCACCTACATAAGGACGCACCTCTGTGCACGATCATTCGTACACATCTTGGAATGAGCTATTGGATCCTTTTTTGGCAGTAAATGAAATTTTGCTTGAGAGCCCACTATTCTTTCCAAGGAAATGTGGGGAATTCCCTATGAAGAATTTTCCATATTGTCTCCTTGTCTCTTCGAGTTCGTTCTATCGAGCATCGACTGTATTTCGTTTGGCCAGGGCCTCGTCCAACGACCTTCAAGGTGGAAGTGACAGTTTGACCTCTATTCGAAGGAAATTCATTCTTGAATGAATATTTTAGTTAATTAATTCGTTTCCTCTGCATCGACCTGAAGTTTTTGCTGAGAAGAAAGGCCGTAGAAAAACAACAGAAAAAAAAGATAGAAAAAAAAGAGGCTTCGAATTTAGTTCTCGGAATAACGAAAGTAAGCGCTTCATATTGCCTGCCTCGTCTTGACTGCCGAAAACCCTAAGGGGAATGCAATTTTATAATTCATTCCGAGGTCGAGCTCGAGGGGGACCCGTTGCTGTGAGCATTGCGATATGACACGAAAGGGCTTTTGGAAACGGATGCGGTGGAGACTGCATCGTTCTCACGTTCTGGTAGCATTTAGAGATGGAATATAAACCACTTTTGCTTTCGGTGTTGCGATGAAATCTGCATTTCCAAAGCTAATGATACCGGACTTACAAAATGCAAGTATTTTATGAGCTTTGAAGGTCAGACTTACGAATCTAACCCGATTTAACGAGAATCATCCGCACTGCTCTAGGGCTTCAGTGACGTCAACATCGAAGGGCTGAGAGACAGGGCAACACCTCTTTAGGATGGCTCGTGATGATCCTTGAGCTTAAATGCATGCTATCCTTTTCCAAAATGTTTGCTTCTAGGGATTTAATGGGTTTAAAGGGATTTAAAGGGCTTATTCGGAGACGGAGAACTCGGATAGGAGTTGCCACCCATTATATCCTTGAGTCGCTTAACAGGTTTACTTCCATGACTGAAGTATGCATAAAAGCATTTCACAGTATTCCTTCGGTAGAGAATTTGGCATCCGGGGAGAGAGGGAGGGGAATATTGGAAGGGGGCATTTACCTCAGTCGCGCTTTACTCATCCAGGGATATCGCTACCAAATGAACAAGGCTCAAGTTCACTAAAAACTACACTAAAAGTTCTGTCTCCTAAAAATCTGTCATTTAATGTTTATCAGTGTGACTGCCATATTGAATTCCTCATTATTTGAGGAGTAAAAAAAAAGAGGTAGGAGTAGATTAACCCCATCTTAGGTCTCCTTCCCTTCCCCCAATGAAGATCTCTCTTTTTGCTCGAAATTCCTTGAGGAAGGAGCTTCGTTGCATCCAAGAAGGTGAAGAATAGTAATAGTAATTTTTAAAAATTCAAACAGAGGAAGAGGAATGCACAGACGGGAACCGAGTGGCCTCGAATGTCATGTGGTTCGCCGGTCTTCCCATGGAATCGTCCAATGCGAGGACCCAAGAGGACAGCACCGACGAGAGCGCACGAGCCACCCAGCATGTGCACCACGCCTCCCCCGGCGTAGTCCTTGAATGCCGTCCTTCTCAACCATCCCTCCGGGTGCCATACCCAATGGGATGCCACCGGGTAGATGAACCCTGCATCGCAAACGATGCACCATGATCAATGTTTCATGGATATACGAGTACAACTTGAGCCGATTGTCCACCACCAAAAATTTCAATCCAACTGACTTAATGTCAATATTTTTTAAATCATGGAATCCAGTACTTTCCAGTACTTCTTCGTCAAATAGAAGGTGCGAGTCTGGGATGCTATACACTATGGCCGTTTCTATATCTTGCTACGGAAGATTTTCCTATCAGAGTTTCCTCGAAACGTGTATCGCATCTCCCAACGTCTATGTGGATTAAATTAGGCAAACTCGTCTTCGGTGAGGGCGATCGAGCCACGCAGTGGCATGCTAGTGAATATATAGCGAATATGGACTTCAGAAAAAGAAACACATCGTCATGTTCGGGAAAATGCTGTAATATGGAATCTTGTTTCCGAGTTTGTTTCTTTCAAAAATTGCGTCAGACATCCCTGACTTTACGAATTAGGGCGTGAAGCAAGGGCCACTGTCCAGTACTTAGTAATGAGTATGGTTAGGGGCCCGATGTCTATCAACGTCCGCATTGGGACGTAAGCATATTTTTTGCAAGCCGTCGAGTCCCTACTGTCCACTGAGTCAGCCTTTGCAGAAATACATGATGCTCTTTCCAGGTTTGACTCTCTGGAATGTCCCATCTGGCCCCGAGGTGTCTGGACGACGTCAACCTATGGCAGCGGTTCTCAAACTTTTACGCTGGGTCAGAGTCACTAGAGGATAGTGACCCTGGCTCGGCGTCACTCCGCCTTTCTCTCTGAGAGCGGTACCTAGAAATTGAACTTAGACCACGGATGCTTTTATCATGCGATGATTGAAAAAGTAGGAAACGGATTGCAACGTTTCAGGGACTGCGTCACAGCTAGGAAACGGATTATCATTCGCGTAATTTATTGAGAACCACGCTCGCATGCTTCTGGGCCCGCAAATGATCGAATCTCGACTGAACGATAACAATGACGCGCAAAATCTCATTTTCAAAGACCTGACAGAGAAAAGGCTTCGGAAATTTTGCTCTGCCAGGGAAACCCGGGTCAAGGGTCAATGAGTTTCTTCTACTATTTATTTAGACAGAACACGGACGCTAAATTCATCGAGCATTCTAGTTACTGCCCAAAGGGACGCACAATTCTTTTGTCATCTTCATTCGAATCGTAGGAAATCGCCGAAAGAAACGTACACGCTTGAGAAAAGGAATTGAATTTAGAAGTCTGCCCCTTGAATTGCTTTCATTTAGTCTTGCACTCCTGGAGAAAGTGCCAAAAAGATCTGAAGGAATGTGATTTATTTACAGTGAAAAATAGATAGATCAATATTCCAAATTTTTTGAAATTGCACATTGTAATAGATAATAATAATAAAAACTCCCATCGTCACCTGTCGCGGCCCCCCACCCCCCCAAGGGGTCGCGCCACAGTTTGGGAACCCCTGGCTTAGGGCAATATGGTCCCGAACGTTTTAGTTCCAAGCGAGAAATTAGATGAAACGGACCCTATTGCAAAAGGGTACAACGACAGACCATCAAAAGTCGAATGTAACTGATATCACTGCACTATCCCCTAAAGATAACTTTCTCAAGAATTACCAGAGTGGTAACTCCGAGGGTAACTCCTTACCCGCTCCGCTTTCCAGGTGTTTGTACCTCGCCCCACCCTCGTCCCACCCTCCACTCCCTTTCCTCGACTGCACGGCTTGTTTCCCCACTTCCCTCCCCGTGCCCACCGGCATCCCCAATAACGTGGCGGGAGCTCTGAGGTCTGGCTATGCAGAATAACGTCTTCCTCAGTCTTAAACCAGGAGGAATGTGGAATGAAAGTTTAAGATTAAGTCTGTGATGCTTGCAAGAGATCTTATCGGGCACTCAATCGCACCCAGCAGCCAATTACCGCGACAGGAAGCATCATGGACAGACGCCTGAATCGGGTCGGGGACGGTCGATGCATGTTCTTCCACCGTGAATCTGAGAGCGGATCGGGGCGGCTATTATCCTGGCGTTCACAATGAGCACGGTCGTGGCGATCAACCTGTCATGCTCCTAGAATTATCTGGAAAAGGACCTTGCGGTCGGGCGTAAGTAGCGTCACCTAGAATACAGGTGAAGGATGAAAGTAGTTCCTGTGAGGCCCAGAAGAGCGTGCGGTAGTCGTGAGAGAGAAAGGCTTTGCAAACGACTTTTCGTGAGCGACAATGTCCGTTTCAGGTGTTCCATTTTGAGTTGATCCTTAAAAGTTAGTCAGTTTTGCTGCACCTGATATCCTGTACTTCAACTGCCTCGTGTGTTACAAACTATGCGTCCAACGCTAGGTTGTGAGTTCGACCTGAAATTATCTCTTTTTCTCTCGATGATGCAAGGTCTTTCATAAATCTCAAACGTCCATTTCTGGCGATATTTCCCTCACGTACTAAGCTATGAAACTCAGCGTGCATTCATAGGAATATGACATATTAGAGGTGGAAATCGCGAGACATTCCCTCTGCCCGCTCCCTTCACCCGTCCTCCATATCCTCCATGTCGAACTTCGCTGATTCGGCATTGAGGCTTTTTTCCTAGGGACGGTGCTTCCCTTTCTCAGAATGACTTGCGGAATCCATTTTTGCGCGATCGGTCCGACCGGCAGGCCAAAGAACCGTGGTAGGTGTTACCATTTTCTTGGCGGTTTCCCCCCCCCCCCCCCCCCAAAAAAAACAGAAGGTTCTCATGCCATCCTTAGGGAATCAGCTCACAACGGGAAAACTGGTACATTGTTGCATTCAATATGAAAAATGCTACTGTACATTCTGGGTATGGAATGCTTTGGATGAATATGCGACCGTACCTTCCTTAGAAGAGCTTCACTCCTGTTGCCTCCCTGGATTCAATTTCCTTTCTGAGAAATTTCGAGCGAGGTTTGATCGTGTTCTTAGCTTCTTACTTTAATTTGACACGCATTCATCCACAATCGGCAATGATAGCACGGGCATATTTTTGTATGAGGAAAATTCCCCGAAAAGTTTCCCTAGGAAAATAACCGACCTGTGATGACGAATGAGTAGATGAGATAGGCGTAGAAATTGCATCTTTCCGCCATGGAGCCAGAGACGAGGGTGGCGGCGGAGGTGGCATGGACGAAGTCGAAGAACCAATGGCCATACTCGCCTGGAGGTAGTTTGTCGTTGGCCCAGAAGTTGTAGCTGAGGAAAGAATTCCCCTCGCTACCGAAGGCCAGAGGATATCCGATCAGCCAGTACGCGATTCCGCCGATCACTAGGAGGAAAATGACTTCCAGTAGAATCACGGGCCTTCGGAAGATGCTGGGTCTAAAAGCCAGGATGTCCATTGGGGTTGTAGTGGGCAGATGCGTGGATACCGAGCTGCAACTTGAGGGTCGAGGGGAGCATCAATGCGACAGTTGTTAAGTATGGGCATCACCGCTTTCATCAAGGATCTTCATTCTGGGTGTATTCACAACTGTTGCCTGGAGCATCTCTATCGAGCAAAATAGACGCAGTTGGTTCGTCCGCTCAGTTGATAGCATACCGAAGGACTTCTTCCAGCTGTCTACAGTCGCGTCCATCGTGCCATTATATTCAATACTTTAAGTGACTTCCGCACGGGACTCCACCGATGCCACCGTGACCCACATAGCAGATCACGTGATTTCTGCATCACCTACTGTGAGATCCTTAAAGTTACAACGCTGTACGTCCACAACGTGATGTCACCAATGGACAACCTGGCTTTTGGACCACCCTGTTTATTAATATTTAAAAAAAAATTAAGCTTTCGAAATCTGCTCGAATCGACGTTCTTTGGATTCGTCTGCCGAAACAACATGACCCAAATATTCAACTTCACGCTCGAAAAAAAAGGCATTTAGATGGCTTCAGGGTAAATTCAGCCTGACGCAGGCGATCGAAGACAAGTTGCAGCCTGTCCGGGTGCTCTCGAAATGTGCGAATAAAAACGAGCATAACGTCCAGGTAAATGAGATAGATTTCCCATCGACATGAAACGTTGCCGAAGCATTTGCTAATCCGAACGGCGTCACCTGGGGATCGCAGGTGAGCTCCACTGGCTCATGGACGGTTTAATGATGATCTAACTTTTCGTTCACCTGTCGATCTTTGATCTCTTTCTGATCAGAGGGGAGCTTGTCGAACGGGCGGTGCTGCGCCGGTATCGATCGATTCCTGCGCCTTCAAGTGCCTTTTCCTCACAATTTCTCGTGACTTCACAAGATTTTTAAAAAAAGATTCATCCACAAGGGAATAGCTAGCTCCTGCATCTACAAAGATTTATGCCTGAAGTCTCTCTACATGAGCAGTTATGAATACGACCGAAGGAGATAGTGCATTTTTCAATTTTGACAGATTCTGATTATCAAGAGGATTATTGCCTTCTGACTTCAGGATGCCCTTTCCAGGATATGAACGATTTACAAGAAGATTATGGTCACTGGAAAAGGAGACAGCGTGTGGGGCATCGACAAAACGGCCTGACCGTCGCCCCTTTAGACCGACTGCGCAAGTAGTTTCCCTGGCCATGAGTGTACCTTTGGGACGGCGCGAGATCTGCTGGGAGTCGAACGGCGCTTTGGCGTGTGGCTCCTACAGCGCACATGCCATTCCTCATCTGGAGTGAGAGTCGGAGTCGGAGGAAAAAGGAACCGGATCGAAAAATCTACCAGAAAAGGTTTCATCGGGCTTGACGAGTGATGAGGCGGGTGAGACGAGAGAAAGAGGGATGCTGGTGGGATGCTGGGCCCATAGGAAAGAAACACCATCGCAAGCAGCGATGGGAGCAGAGCTGAAACAGGGTCGGCAGAAGTAAACCCTCACAGCGTGAAGAACAGTGACCTCGTTCAAAGGAGGTTTTCCTCGAGGAAGAGTCGGGAGTCACAAACTTGGTTTAAGGAACGTCTCAGGAACTTCATCGTGCTCGAATCCGTCGAATGGAGGGAACAACGGCCTTTTTAAAGGGAGGTACCCCAGCCCGATGAAGAAATGACATGGAATAATGAAAGGGGTGAATTCTCCAAGGTTAAGCATGCGACGGAATAAGGATGGAAATGTTGGTTTTATTCTGTTTCGAAGGTGAATCTCAGAGCAAGAGAGTATTTGCCGTTTGAATTCCTTTGCTTGTTCACTCGCGACTTATTTTCTGAAAATGTTTTTGCTTAATGCAGCCATTATCAGTTACAATAACAATTGCCTTATTAACCATTTGGTGACTATACCCAGGTCGATTCTATGCATCAGCATAAGTATCTCCTTAAGTTTTAAAACGCCTAATCCGAACTCAAAATGCATGTTTTGATTCGTCTTCGTCACGCTAGAGAGAGCTGCAGTTTCCGAATCGCTGAGGTCCATCATCGCGAGGTGGACGAGGATTCTGGCAATCAATAGCCTCAATGTTTTAGTTATTAATAGCTTTCGCAGTGTTCTTTGAACAACGAAATTGAGAAGTGAGAGACAAAGAGGTGGGGCGGAACTATGAATTGCCTTTTTCTTGCAGGAAGAAGTTGGGGGGAAAATGTGGACTTACACAGGTCGAGCAGATTCTTAATGAGGATGTTCACCGCATTCTTGGATCTGACGGAGCCGGCTTCCAGGAAGGCGAAGCCCGCCTGCATGACTGGAAGGAGGAGAATCTGACTTTAGAGGTCGGTTCCACGGTGGGAAGGGCTCCACGCATGCCATCGTACAGAAGATGATGATGGATATGGTGAGGAGGTACAAGTCGTCGATGGAATGGTCCAGGAGATACAAACTGTGAATGGAAGTGTTGAGGGCAGCCAACTCCCGACCGATTTCCTCCATGTTCAGCACCCTTTCCATCGTCTCTCCCGCACCTGCTTGCACAAAATCAAAGGATTCATTTGGCGAGAATTGGCATGCTGTACTGTACGGCGCTCCAAGTACTGGTACGCTACACATTATTTTAAGTGAAATTCTAGGGGTCGATTTGAACAAAAATGAAACGCGTGGACTTATTAACGGACTTGTCAACAAGGCTCTGCCAGTTAGGAGAATTCACGCTTAAATATCGACTAAAATTTCTAAAACGTTCTGCAATCCAACCAGAGGCTTTACAGCGGGAAATATGGAATCGATTTCGAAAGAATGCAATGGCTTCTACTCATCCCAGGAGATATTAATTTTCGGGATTTCAAGTACTTACCGTACTTCGTCAAGTATGGTACGTCAAGTACCGTAATTCTCGTAGGATCGGCACTGAAAAGGAATTTAGACTGGAATATCGTATCAATATGAACGATAGAGATAGGAATAGGATGCTCGTAATAGGGTAAAAATTACAAAAAAGGCTTCAGATAAAAGGGTTACCTATATATACTATTAGGACACTAATCCAAGGAGTACGTTTTCGTACCTATTAGTGCTGTCATATGAAATTTCTTCATAACGAACAGCTTCCGATTTTTTTTTCGAGTAGCATCTTCTCCGGCAAAAATAAACGATTTGCTATTTTAAAAAAGGAAAATATATAGCTAAACCCCGTATGCAGAAGAGAGTTAGAACCGTGATCACAAAAACCAAGGAGAAAAGACATCACATCAGAAATGCCTCGGGTGACCCTCTGCCGTAGAATCCTTGACTGCGGGCAGTCGATTGCTGCACTGACTATAATAGGCAATCGGTTCCTGTGTTCCGTCACGAGATGAACTGACTATGGTTGAGAATGTTTGTGTTGTAAGTGATGTGCAAGTTGCTGCATATGAACGTGAATCCTGTCGGTAAGAGGAATCGGTTTTTCAGAGACTGCACGGAAGTTCGTTGTCTGCTACACACGTCTAGACATGTCGCAGATGCGTTCATGGCATGAACGAAACTAGTGGTCTAAGGAGATTCTTGCGTCATGTGACTTATTCTCTTCCTTCTACATGCACTAGCACAGAGGATTCTTAAGATGCCTAGCCAACATTTTTTTATTATCTTAGTATGATATCCATTAACAGATTTTGAAAGTCAAATTCATGAACTCACTTCCAAGGCTCGCAAACAAAATTCGTGAAGTAGCTGACCTAAATATTAATGACAATGAGGAAATGACAAATGAAATGACAAAGAGAAGGCAAAAAAAGTTTCCTCTCATCCTTCCCGGCCGGTGTCTGGCACTTACGCGTCTGTAGGCTGAAAGACGAAGACCACCGTTTCGGGACGCGGAATATCACCGACACGAAAGAGTGGCAAGTCAATTAGTGGTGATCACCTTCAACGAATTCCTTTTCGACAGGGTCCGAGGGGTAAAACGGTGTTTACGTCTGATCGCATGTCAAGCCTGCATGTGACAGGACGATACTGGAAGAGGGGGCATTTGTCATCTCATCTTTCCCCGAGATCCTATTCGGAGAAAGCAAAGCCGACATCTAGATGGGCCACTGCATTTCATTTCAAAGTCAAATGAAAGGTCAAGTATGATATTGGAATTCAAATCCGTGCAGCTACCTGTTCTGCGGAAGAGGGCGGTCGTGACGTAAGACGGGGATAGCGTGTCGAGTGATGCCTGTTTTCAGTGTTCGAATGAGAGTTGAGAAGCTGAGATGGAGCTTGGGTCTTCGGGAAGGAAATACGGGACATTAGAAGTCGGTGAGAGTAGAGAGAAAATTCCAGACTTACCATATTCAAATTGGCGACGACGTAGGAGGAATTCACAAACCGGGCCCATAGATCATCCATACATATTCATATCAATTTACCCCCCAACGAGAAACCCTTCAGTCTGTTGGACAGACCGATTGCCTTTCGGGAGCCATCTGACGTGAACACGACTGGCCATCCTGATTAGCTCATTGCCTAAGTAGAATGACGGATAAGCATGCGAATTAGCATGGGAAAGTCCTCTAGACCTGCCACCCAGCAGTTTCTAAAATTTAACTTGTGAGGCTTGGGACAGAATCAATTATGTGAGATTTCTTTCATCTTCACTTTTTGAAGTGACTGCGGATTCGCCTTCGTGTGTTTTACCAAATTAGATTTAGGTAACATTAGGTAACATGCATCAAGGCGGTGTTGCAAGCACTCGGCTCCGTTCAGATTCGTTGTCGCACTCAACTTAATGACTCTTCAGTCAATTTTATTACCTATGTATACGGGATAAGTAGAAGTTACAGAACTTCACCAGCGATTAGGCATTCGTCGTATCTTTCCAGGCATTTTCTCTTCCAGGAATCGTGCTTCCGAATCGTGTAAGAATGTATCCTAGAGAGAAAAATGTGGCCTTCAAGCGGTTCCAACGAAGGCCACTTTTTTATCTAGAAAATGCTTAGCATGACGCGGATGCATCATCGTTGGAAAGGGAAAGGCCAGGTAAGAAATGACAAATTGGGTAATCGTTGGGGAATGATGATGAGCAGGGGCCCGCACGAACGTGTCAATGTCAATGACGAAGTTCCTCGCGTGCTCGCGTTGGGAAAAAAAAGGCATGGTTGAAATGTGACAGGAGTCGTTCATTCCGGAATACATTCTTCAGAAGTTGTCAGACCAGTGCTAATGAGGAATATCTCAGGTTCATTTGTGGGAGGTCGGCACCACTTTTTCCACATCGGAGGGGATGCAGGCATAAATATTTTCGCTAACACTGGGAAATTCACATAAATTTGATATTTCCGTTGTCACAGATGGAAAGGTGAGGTGCAAGTCTTCCTCATATGAGGATAAATTTACATTGGAGTTTTTCAGCATCGCGCAACTCGAATCAACTTTGGGACAACTTTTGATTCAGTTTATGGGGGGGAGGTAGGGAGACTGTCAAATGTGGCTGACAGCGGTGATATCGTCTCGATTCTGCAAGCCGGAAGAGTCTGAATTTGATCGCGGGACGATTCCGTCGTTGCAAGAAACTTGGGCCCTCGAATCGGGATCGTTCGAGGAGTGCAAGGTGGAGCACGTGGTGATCGTGTTCGGACTGTAACCGTTGAAGAGATTCGAGGATGCGGTCCGGGACATTTGTCTCCCTGCGAAGGGACCCTGCATGCGGGATGATCGGTCCAGTCCTTCCTCTGTCCCTGTTGGTGAATCACGACCAGGGTCACCTCAAATTCGATATCTATGCCGTCAAGGGTTCTTTTTGAGTTTTCTGACAAAGGGGGGTGGGAAAAATCTCGGAAGGGAAACGCGGTTACGGAGCGTCAGATGGATTACACTCATCGTGTCAGGTAAAATGTCGAGAACTTGAAGTAAGATATCGGATATTATCATAAATTTCATTTTTTTTAATAAGCTATTTCTATATAAATTTTTAGACATCCAAGATGTCTGAGGTTTCTCAGCATTTTGCCTGAAGGCCCACTATCGGCGTTGGAAATATTATGAAAATTTTTGAAAATCTAGAGAATCTATACTTTCACTTTGGAAAATCTGTCATACTCTTGGTGCTGGACATCATGGAGAAGATTTTGGTAGCCATGGTGGAAGTGCCATACTGCCCCGGATCGCAATCTTCCCAAGCTGTGCTAGGGTAAGCCGGTTCGTTGTGCTTGATCACGTCCATACCTAAACGAAAAAAAAATTGTTGCTGATCACCACGGTTTCCAAGAGGAACAGGGAGAGAGAGAGGGAACATACCTCGAATTTCCATTTCCTTGTCAACGCGAAGAATCCCGAATTTCTTGAGGATTCCGAAAAGGATGAGACAGAGAGTGGCAGACCAACCGGAAATGGCCGCTGCTCCCGCCAAATTCCATCCCAACACCTATGCACCACACCGATTCACCATCGCAGAAACAAATGAATTAAAACTTGGCTTTTAGAGCTGCAGCGGGTCAGGATCGTGTTTCTTACTTTAAAAGAAATGTAGGCAAAAATCAATTTAAAAGCTTTGTTTTAAAAGCGAAGGAGTAGCCTGGACGAGTAGAGTAGTCAATGGAATTTCTCTTGCAGTCCCACATACTGCAAGAGAAAAAAGGAGAAAGCGAATTTGTGCAAATACTGAAAAGATCGACCTCGTTTCCCTAGGAGGGTGAAAGTTTCACGGATGTGACGGAACATATTGGCTCTCAATATATGGATAATGGATGCAAAAAAATATTGAGAAAAATGGAGATGTTCAGATCCAGGGTATCGAAACTACATTTGATTGAATTTTCCATTTTTTCGATCTTCCGAATGGGAAAAGCATTTTTCGAGTCGAGGAGCCCGCAAAGCATCATAACTCGCCAGTTGGCATATACCTTTTTTATTACAAAACATTTAAAAAAAATGAGAAGCGTAGTCGAAATGACGAAAATTTGTCAGAATATTTAGAATCTCGAGATGCGGATGGGGAAATCACTTTCATTGTCGTAGGTCTACTTCTGAGAACTCCTTCATTTAAAATCCCAACACGTCACATTGGGAGAAAGAGGTGAAACATATCATGAATCACACGAAAGCATTAAGCCACAGGTAGTGAGGGATGATGTAACTGTTATTTTCCCACCGAAAAATCGCCTTTTATATGGGGGCATATTCATTGCGTGAGGGTGTTTCCCAGACAAGAATCCTTCACAAAACGTATGGGAACGTGAGTCAATAGAGACAGGAGTGGCAGGAAGCGATTGCATGATGAGTAATGTTCGCTCTAAATATATAAAGGATTCCGTGATTCCGTAATCTGGAAATCACTTGCGATGGCCTTCACTACCATGGCCTCTGGCATGCTCACGTCCAGATCATGTGGTCAGTGGGACCTTTAGTCTATAATACTTTCGTCCTTCCAGCTCCGTCTTCGTGCATGTATGTAATGGCTTTTGCATGTTATGCACTCGTAAACTCCTGTTGTTGCAACTGTCCCACATTCGAAAAATTACTGTAAGCATGATTCTCCTAGTTCTGCTGATAATCATCAAGGGGGCTATGGTCCCAAGGGGACTGGTTTCCTGATGGTATCTTCTCGGGCAACGACTCTTCGAACTTATGCAACTGTGTCAAACAACGTGGACATGGAAACATGGGCGTAATCCGAGTCTATCAAATGGGAAATGTGAACCATTGAAAATTCTAATTCCTGGAACGACAACAATGAAAACTCAAATTAATGGCGACAATAATTGATGCCGTGCTAATGGTTGAGTGTCTGCGGTAACAGGATATGCCATTACATGCATGGGATCACGTTTTTGGCACTACACTTCCGACACCATTTCAATCGAGCCATTTCAATTCAGTCGTACAACATGAAAACATTTCACAGGCGGTGGTATAGGGGCTGGATGTAAAGTCCAAATTTGTATGACCTTGCTTTTCTTACGCTATTACATCGATGGGCGTAACAATTATGGCGTGTACTTGCGGAAGCACATGACGTTGAATCAACATTGGGTCACCATCAGACTAACATCCGGGGCGTTGAATCAACATCCAAATAGTGTTGATGCAATGCTATGTGCTACTTGCCATGTGCTACAATGCTATGTCGTTCCCAATCTCGAGAGGCATACAATTTCCAAAGGGATAGACCACGAATGATGCAAGGTTACAAATTATGGTTTCCATTTCCCTCTTCCACCTCACACGCGAGGTGTCAACATCAGGACTCGCTTTTACCCATTTCCTTAAGCGAGGGGCATCAATGGCAATCCAAGGGATGTCAATGTCAGGGCGAGTGAAGTTGGTCAACCCGGGGAACCATTTAACAAGTGCAGAGTTAGCTGCAGGGTTAAGTCCGAGCAATCGCTTCAAGGACGCTCAAATAGAATATATTCTTGTGTATCACATTTCGATGAACCTGGAACGGTCTTTCACTTCGTTGAACTCACCAAAGCAGAGTTCCTGGAAGGATTGAAGATGATTCCGTCTTCCATGAAGAATGCAACGGCGACGATTCCGAAGAACCCGCCTCCAAAATGAACAGGGAATGCGTCCAAAGGATCATCAACTGTGAACATGAAAATAGTATGCATTGGGGCATTTATGTAACTATGGCAAAAGTATGGCAAGTGTGCCATACTTTTTGCCAAGTATTGCAACAAAAAAAATACCTTCTACAGTATTTTCTTTCATACATTGTACTTTTGCCTTTACTGATGCTATTTCCACGATACCTGCTGCATGCAAGTACTGATACGTTCTCTACGCAATTCCGAAATGCTATGCGAATTCGTTTCACCAAAGGAAGTCCACGCGAAATTATTCAAAAGAAATCGGAAATCGAAAACGAATGGGGGACTATAGTCCCTGAAGAGTGACCAAATAAAAATGGGACGAAAGCGCACACAGAGCAATCTGTATGCTCTTGACGTCTGTTGATTAATTTGTTACTAATTAGAAGTAAAGGATCAGCAAAGCAATCTGCTGCAGAGGGCCAGCCAAAAGAATGCATTTTAATTGAAGAGACAATTGCGATGGCCTGGATTATATGCAATCAGAGCGTGAAGACGTTCCCTTCACCTGAATTTAGGGTCCTATCCATTTACGACATCCAGCTTCTTTTGCATAATTTCTCATAGCCTTCTCTTGGTGCAATATATTTGAAGGAAGCATTACGCCTCTTTCAGCCGATGTACAAAGCAAGTTTTTGAAAATAGCATCAGTAAGAGCAGAGACTCATCGGTTTGAGGGAATTTTTTGCCATATCCTGTATAAACCCACAGAATAAGGGTAGGGAACATGTACAGCTGTGGCATTTACGGCATGACGGTCTTTCCGCTCACTCGAGCACACACACTTTATCTCACATCGATTAGACCCATAGAGCCCGTTCACGGGAGCATGTTTCGTCTTTCTCGGGATGCCAGGATCCATTAATTACATTCTTTTCGTTATTCGTCATTGTTATATATCTTGCATTTTATTACAATTTCATACGAAACTTTTAATCATTTAATTTCTTACCCTAGCTCTTCTAACGCAATATTTGTCACACTTTATCCCGAGTCGTACTTATATTTATTCGTAATTTTCATATTTTGCAATCACTAGTAATTTTTACGGATTTACGGATTTTCACGTTTTCACGATAATACTTGAAGAGCATACAGTATACCAGCATATTTTCCTTCCTCAATGAGTAAGCGAGCAAATGACCTTTACCTTTGAGTTTGAGGAGAAGGAAGTGAAGACAGAGAAAGGTGAATCCGGCCCCCACGCCGACGACCAGGGCCGCCCATGATGGGAAGACGTCACTCCCTGCACACACGCCCACCTGTAAAGTAATCATACCCAACGACGTCAGAACGCTGAATATATAATTTTATACAGGGGTGGGCATAAGTCCCAGGATAAGGTGCGATTCGCAAGCCTGCATTACGAAAGTTTACACAGCGGAGCGGTAAAATATAAGAGGTAAAATTGAACGCGAAATCTTGAAAAAATATATTTTTGACTGGACCACAAAGAATCATGTGAAAGTGCTTTTTTTAAATATAAGACTAGCATACTCGATGTGTTTACTTCCAGAACCACGCACGTCAATGTGTCAATTCGAAAACATTTAGATGCTGATTTTCGCACATACGTATTGCTTCCGCGCCTCTTATGCCAACTACTACTCCTTGTTTGGGTGCGTGAGGGGGAATACAGTTTTCTACTGCAACTACAGAAGGGTGAAAGTTCCTTTACCTAGTTCTTCTCCATAATGATGCTGCCTCCCTGGGAGAAGGTTGAAACGCGTGGCAGTTAAATGAAGCGTCGGTACGTGCCCAATGAACTGTGACTATTCTATAGTGAATAAACTTAACTGAACCCAGCTGAACTGGACTGAAGGATCCCCTGATTAATTGTATTGTTAGCAAATTTTGATACGGTTTATTAGGTAAGGCCAAAATTACCCTTTTGTAGTAGTTAGATCAGCAATACTGCAGATGAGCGGTTCTCAACCTGTGTGCTGCGGCACCCAGGGGTGCCCCCAAGAGACTGACAGAGTCATGGGTCCTGGAAGCCCTATCATGGGTCCTGGAAGCTTTCTTTTTATCTATCATCTACCTCAGTCGACTGATACTTATCAGCATTCCACCTTGCCTTTCGGTCAGTCTCTGCCAAGCGAGAGACGTGGGGCACGTGATTTCGGCCTTATTCAGTCTGCTGTCCTTATCGCTCACACCTTGGTCGAGACTTATGGCACAGTCAGAATCGAGTGATATTTTTCATGGTCCCACATGGAATATCTGTGATTGCTTTTTTTGTTATTTTTTTTTACATGCTGCTGAAGTTTTATTAGCTGCCTCTCAGACATTCTATGTTCCATAGTTCGAAAAGCAGACGCTTTTTTGTTTCTCTTTTTTTTTTTAAATGGAGCTCCTGGAATTCAGCACAGATCGCCACTTGCCGTCCTTGTCCTCTTTGTGCTATGAGTTGTGAAACGGTTTACAATGGCGAAGTTTACCATGAGTGTGAGAGTGGCAATGGTGCTGTTCTACGGGAACAAATATCACAGTGTGCGTGACATTGCTGATATCTATGCTGATATACCACCCACCCTGATAAGAAAAAGCAATTTCCGATTCCTATCAACGCTCTACGTTGGCACCGTCGTTGATAATCCTAGAACTGGTAGGCCAAATACCGCGAAAGGCTATGATGTAGCTACTACGTTCTTGCCCTGTAGCAATAATCACCTGTCAAACCATAAGTCAAAACCTTTATCAAGGCAGGGGCAAGCCGACATAGCGTCGGCAGTACTTTCGCAGGTCCAATACTCGCCTGGTGTAACTCCAACTACCGCCACCCATGCAAAATTTTTTTTTTCTCCCGATTTTACGCCGTAATGCAAGATATAGGGGCCTAAGCATATACGTACGAGACCAGCGAGGGCACCGTTGAGGGTCATAAGGAAGCTCCAGGCATGGGTGGGTCCAAAGGTGCCAGCCCGGTGAATGACGAGGGCCCCGACCCCGCCCCCACATGCACCAAGTAATGCATTCACTATGGCTCTACTGATGACTTCTCCATCACCCGGATGGCTGATGTGACCCCGGAACCCCGCATTGAATGCCAGGAAGCCGAACAACAGGATGAATCCTCCCAGTGCTGCCAACTGCATTCAAAGACGATATGAGCATCTTAAGGATCAAAATTGAGACAAGAGTGTGAGAAATAACGAAATTAAAGCAATATAATAGAAGATATCTGATTGGAAAGAAAGTTCTCGGAATTTCATGAACAATTATTACAACCCCGTTTATTTAAAAGCAAAATCATCTCAATCATATTCAAGAAATTCCGAGAACTTTCTTTCCAATCAGATAAATAACGTAACACATATCAAAAGAAACTACGCAACTACAATATATCGGGTAGCGAAAAAAAAGAGTAAAGTTTGACCCGCTGTGGCTGATCTAGGCTCGTGATGCTTTATGCATCACATTGGAAACACCACAAAATTTGTTTCCTGTAAGTTTCATATATCTAGGTTGTCGGAATAAAAATTGACAGTCATTCAAAGAGGAGTACTAAAATGTACCTTTTCCGCGCCTGAGGTGGATGGGGTTTCAGCACTGTTCGATTGATTTCTCTCCCTTGACACCATAAATACATATTTTTATGCCAGTTCTCATCGTTGTATTCAGCGTAGTATCGATTCTGATGCCACGATGTACAATAGTACGACTATTCTACGACATATAGAATACTACAACAAGGGCATGATGTAAAAAACAGTCTTTAGGGCGTCAAGAGAAAGAAATAATTCACAGTGACGAAACTCCATCCACCTCTTTTTTATGAAGGGTTTTATAAAGCGTCAAACAGGACGCGTTTTTTTGCGCCACCCGATATAAGAAAACTGCAGGAGATCCTAGAGTATGAATGGATGGCAGAAAGAGCACAAAGGAGGTTACCATGTGAAGGCTTGCGTCTTGTCCTGAATTTTCCCAAACTCTGTCAATCCATTAATATTTCTATTGCATTAAGAAGCCTTGCACGTTAAAATGTGCTGTACCGGTATGCCGCATTATTTCTGACAATATGAAATTTTATATGCATAGCAAACAATATGAATGACTCAAATAATGTTTAAATACTTCAGGTGATGGGCCATGTAAGCATCAATATAAGAAAACTTTCTAGAAGTGCTACTTAAATACTATCTTAAAATCCAACCGCAAATAGTTGTCAAAATGCTCATATATATATATATATTTTTTTTTTTAAAGCAATTTACTATGGTGAGAAAATCCGAGCAATTTTATTTTCCCTAGAAATTTAGTTCCTTAATAATTTATATTTTGTGGGCATCGTAATAACACAAGGCATCAAAATCTAAAGGAAATTTAAAGCACTCCACACGGCGTTCTGAGCGTTGGAAGAGGAGCGAGAGGATTACATCCACTCAAGAAGCTCGGGTGGGGAGGGGATGGGGTTATTTTTAATGCGTTGTTAACAACTTAATAAGTAAATCCTAAAATGAAGGGAATTTCAATAGAGTTGGAAAGTATTGGAGTGCACAAACAGGGACGGAATGGCCTCGAATGTCGTGTGCTTCGCCGGTCTTCTTATGGAATCGTCCGATACGAGGACCCATGAGGGCAGCACCGACGAGGGCGCACATGCCACCCAGCATGTGCACCACGCATCCCCCGGCATAGTCCTTGAACGCCGTCACCTTCAACCACCCCTTCGGGTGCCATGCCCAATGGGATGCGACTGGGTAGATGAACCCTGTTCCAGGATTGGAGAAGCAGTTGCGCGATCAGAACGATCCTTCGAAATGTTTTAGGGCTGAAACTATCCTACTTGGTTACGTACGTCAACTGAGTTAAGTTTCACTTAGATGCTATTAAATAATATGATCGTGCACTGAGTGCCTTACTCAATATTTTCCAGCAAAATAATTTTGACGTACTTTGAAATTTCCACCCGTTTTCGACGTGATTTTCGAAGAATTTCCTTGGAATCTCTTTCGTCGTACGAGAGTACAACAGAGCCAAAAGGCTTTTAAAAGGTCAATACAAACCAGTGATAAGGAAGGAGTAGAGGAGATAGGCGTAGAAATTGCATCTCTCTGCCATGGAGCCAGAGACGAGTGTGGAAGCAGTGGCAGCATGGACAAAGTCAAAGAACCAATGACCGTATTTCTCAGAGGGTAATTGGTAGTTGGCCCAGTAGCTGTAGCTCAGGAAAAAATTCCCCTCGCTACCAAAGGCCAACGGAAATCCAATCAGCCAATACGCGATCCCGCCAATGACTAAAGAAATTGGAAGATCGACAATGCCTTGGTCATTGGAATAAAAATGTAAAGAATTCAACGATCGAAATCTTTTTGAAGCTCAATCAATAAAAAATGAACAGTGAGTGAAACAATAATCATGGCTTCATCAGAATATTTACATAAGAAAAAGGCACAGAATCGTTTGAATATGACCCGAATTGAGAAGGTAAAGGCTCGAGAACTATGGGGTTGAATGAAAAAATGGGTTCAAACAGCGGCCTCTCTTCGCTAATTTGGAGTTTAATGGTCTTGAACAAAATCCAGTCGTATCCATAATCTTGAATGCCACCAAGTATTTCCCGATCAGATTTCTTTTTCTTCAAAAATAAGACGGAAATGCTGAAAAGTGACGATTTTGGGGTGATGGAGGGAGGGCAGAGAGTAGTGCAGGGCCAGGGGAGGCAGGCAGAGATTCAAACATGTGTCTAAACATCCACTACCGACCTCGTATGCGAACGGACTTCACGGGGTCTGACACGCAGGGTCTGTTTCTGACCCTGTGTGTCTGATGCCCACGTGTATTCGCATCCCACTTTTCACCCACATGAAGGTCGTATTTTTTAGTTTACGATGAAAATTAATATGATGGAAGAGAGACAGGCTTATGGGGAGGGCCGGATTAAAAATAGCTTCTTTCATGCTTGAGGAAAAAAGCCGTTTTAATGGCAGACGCACGCATATCCAGGAGATTCTTGATGAGGATGTTCACGGTATTCTTGGATCTGACGGCGCCAGCTTCCATGAATGCAAAGCCTGCCTGCATGACTGGAAGGAAGTGAGAAAGTCAGATTTTATAGGTCGTTCCCAAGGTGGAAGGGTCCCAAATATACGAGGGATTTCTCAAAAGTTCTGCCAGTAGCCCACAAGTCGTCATCGGAGGCGGCCGCAAAGTGCTGGACCGGTTCGGGAAACTTATTTTTGATTAAAAAAAGGTTTTTCACCTGGTTGGATCCATCGCATGAAAAATGCAGGGTACTGTTTATTTCAGGGCATCAGGGTAAGAATCGCCGAATCAGCGGTTAGGCGCCATCTCGCATAGATTCGTACGAGGGTTAGTGGGGAGTATGTGGAAAAGGTGTGAAATAGTTGCCTGTGGCAATAAAGATCAGAATTTAATCATGGAACACTAGATTTTTTATTTCTTTGGGGCTACTGGCAGAACTTTTGAGAAATCCCTCGTATCTTACAGAAGATGATGATGGACATAGTGAGGAGGTAGAATTCGTCGACAGAATGGTTGAGAGCATCCAACTTCTGATCGATCGCTTGCATGTCCGGCACCTCTTCCGTCATCTCTCCCGCACCTGTATTACCCCCAAAAAATTCAGGCAACCACCCCATTCGGCACAACAACGTTGTTTCAGCATTGAGAAAAGGTTGAAACGTTGGGACTTGGTTGAATTTGAGAATTCGACGAAATCAACATCGATGATTTGGGGTAAAACTTTTTGAGTAACCCTCGTACGAATCTATGCGAGATGGCGCCTAACCGCCGATTCGGCGATTCTTACCCTGATGCCCTGAAATAAACAGTACCCTGCATTTTTCGTGCTGTACCCAATCTTTTCCCAACCACAACATGAAGGAAGGTATAGGAATTTCTAGATAGACCTGTTTAAGGAGGTAATCAGGCAGAAGGAGACTCAAAGTATGATACTTCTGGCCAGTGGGCCTGAGGAGACATGTTCAATTTTCCTAAATCTCCACATGGTTACATACACTCACTCGAGCTCTTCCGTAGAAGATAGAGCATGAAAGCAAGTCTTTTCCCTGAAATGTTATAACTTGCTAAACAGTTTCGTCGTCGAAGGGATTGAATTTTCGTCAACGATGGCGACGATGAAATGAAAATTGTGGCTGACAAAATAACAAAAATGGAACGAAACGGACGACCGGGATGGCGACGAAATTTGACGAATAGTCACGGCTGGCCGGGAGACTAAAGTTTCACAAGTCGATGAGACAAACAATGACTAAATTGAAACTTGCAGAAGAAATTAATACTGCTGCTAAAATTAATCTCTTCGATGGAAAAGACTGTCATTAAGCTGTTAAGCGTGTTACACTCCACAGCTGCATTTCTTTGTCCTCACAATAGCCTCATGTTCGCCAGGATTTCCTGGCATGTACACTGAGTTAGGAAAAAGAGGATGGAGATGGAGACGGATGAGCTCCTCGGCCTAGACCACATCCTCGTGAATGTGGTCGAGGGCTCCATTCCTCCACGACTGAGATCTACTTCCGGTCGAGTGACCATACCGAATGGACGGTATCAATTTCCAGTCGCAATCCTTGTTCGTCCCGGTATTTTTTTTTAAGGCCAATTTTCTTAATATTTCCTTGTCTGTCCAGACAAGTATGTTACATTGCTTACAATCGTTTCTTGATGCTTCACCAGCTAGCTAATCACATGGCAAGTTTAGTCCACAGTAATAATCGTGTTACAGAATGGTCCTTTTCTGATATAATTTTCTAATATCCACGGTCATGCATCAACTCCCAAGCCTATATTATACTTATTCATGAATCATTATCCCAAGGACTTCGAGTCCGTCAAGTTCCATCAGTTACGGTCTTTTCCCTTTGAAGACCTCAGAAGATTCGTCCCGTCCTGTGGTGTACTGCTTGGGATATCAAGTACTGGTCTCATTAAAACAATTGGGAAGTACCAGAAGCACGCAGGCCAAGGTAGAGCGAAAACCAAAACTCAATGTCGAAAATCGAGTTAACGGTGGTAAGTCTACTTTTGAGGGTTCTCAATCAATAGTCCAGAAAAGAGTACGAAAGAGTAGTCCTCTCGTATGTACCTGTACATATAGAACAGACTACCAAACCGACTTCGACAAATTGGGTACCGACAGAATCGACCAAAGACATGGCTGTACAAGGCAGATTGGAGAGAGGAGGGTAAAATAATACGCCTGTGACGACGTCAGCGAGCCGTTCCACTATAAAAAAAGGACGCTTTGGCCTTGACGATCTCACAACATCACTGGTTAAGACCAAGGTAGGTCGCACACACTCTATCTCTTGTCTCTCACAGCCGTAATACAATCTACCCTGCTGAAAAAACCTCATGAGAATCTCAAAAGGAAACCTCATGAGATTCTCATGAGGTTTTCGGACAGAGGTCTCATGAGAATGACTTCATGAGGTCTGAAACAGATATCTCATGAGGTTGACTACATGGGGTTTTCGCATAGAGGCACCACTTGCCTCGTGGCCCAATAGCCACGAAAAGTCTCCTGGGACTCCGCTTGGAAGGTCCCACGAGTCCTTAAAAGAGAAGTAATCATATACGAAAGAATATATACGCTTCAACAATAGTCATTTATTCCATCCTCAAAACGTCATTCTATCTTGTAGGCCAGAATTGTCTGAAGTCTCCCTAAACTGGGCTATCTCTTCGGACAAGTGTTTTTAGAAAATCAAATATCTTTGATTATATTCAAT